ATCTCCTCTGTTGATCGGTTCTCACGGTATGCATACTGATGAGGGTCCTCGTTGATGTTGATGGTTGTTTTGATGTGAGTCATGACCAGTTTTTCGAAGCATTTAGCGACTATCGGGGTCAGGGCCACTGGCCGATAGTCATTCAGACCAGTCACTGTAGAGCTTTTTGGGACTGGGATGATGGTGGCAGGCTTCAGGCAGGCTGGAACTGTCTCCAGGGTAAGTGAGGTGTTAAAGATGTCTGCCAGCACTTCGCAGAGCTGATCAGCACATTCCTTCAACACTTTTCCGGGGATGTTGTCTGGGCCAGTTGCTTTGTGCAGATTAATCCTCCTGAAAGTACTCCTTACTTCGGCTGAGGTCATGCTGAGATGCTCTTCTTCCGGTGGTGAGGTGAGTGTGGTGCTGGGTGGTCTGTTCGGGTCTTCAAAGCGTGCATAGAACTTGTTGAGGGCATCAGGCAGAGATGGGTCTTTGGGGCATTGTTCGCTCCTTCCTTTATAATCTGTTATGCACTTAATGCCCCTCCACATGCTCCGAGGGTCTTATGAAATGAATTGACCCTCGATCCTCTGTGCATATGTGGCCTTGGCCCTCTTAATACCAGCAACCAGCTCTTTTCTTGTCCTACTCAGTTCCTCTGAGCTTCCAGACCTGAAGGCAGTGTTCCTGGCTTCCAGCAGGGTACGCACCTCTGCATTCAGCCAAGGTTTTCTGTTTGGGTAGCTTTTAACATTTCTGATAGTGGAGACGGTGTCAGTACATGTACTAATGTAACCCAGAACTGAGGATGTGTATTGGTCCAGATCAAGCAATCCTCCATTTTCAGCAGCTTCTCTGAAAACCTGCTAGTCTGTTTGGTCAAAACAATCTCTCAGTATGGGGCCACTGTCCTGGATCCAACATTTAACTTTCTTTTGTACCAGATGCAGGAAGAGGGACACCTGCATCATGAAGGACCCCTCTCACCCAGCACACACACTTTTTGCCCTGCTCCCCTCAAGAAGGAGATTGAGGAGCATTAAGTGTAGAACCACTAGACCTGAGGAACAGCTTCTACCCAGAAGCTGTTAAGACTCATGAATCTCTAACCAGAATAATCACTGTGAAAAACCACATCATGTTGTTGCTGATCTGTTTCATGTTGCTGCTGATTTGTTTAAATGTTGATGTGTTCATGCGTGCACATCCGCTCACACAGACTCATGTTCATGTTTGTGCTGATGTTCAATGTTTTTATGTACGAGTGCTTGGTGTATATTTGGTTGTTTTTCTTGGTTCATATCTTAGATGTTATTACTGCTTTTCTTATACATTTTATTGTTGGATGTAACTGGGACCCTGTGTACATAATTTCGCTCCACCACATGTACCACATGAGGTGCGAATGACAATAAAGAATCTCTGACTCTGATCTGGAGGTGTAAATGTCTGTGATGGTGGGAAGACTGACTCCAACAGTCTTCTGTGTAGCCTTCACCGCTCTCGGCAAAGCTTTTCTTTCTGCAGCTGTGCTGCCTCCATACCACACATTGATGGTGGAGCACAGGATGCTCTCCACTGCACACCTGTAGGAGGAGTTGAGGACAGAGCTTCCCAGACAGCTCGCCTCAGCCGCCTGAGGAAGTATTTACAGGACTAACAACAAAAGATTAAATCATGTCATCTGGACCAGTTTCTTTAAGTTTGAAACGTTTTTTCTCCCATCCAGAAGACTTCCTCAGACTACGACCTGCCAACCAGATCTGTCCCATAGGTAGCCTTCACAGCTGTGTTTCAAGCCAACCTCTTGTTGGAATCTCAAAAGTAGGCTTTTCTTCTTTCGGCTCCTCCCTTTGTCAGGGGTCACCACTGCGAACTACGTCGCATGAAGACTTGGCAATTATTTTTATGCCGGATGCCCTTCCTGACTCAACCACAGACCACCGAGCTACCATAGCTCTCTGTGTGGAGCAGAGGGCTGCTATCTAGGGTGCAGGGGGGAGCAGGTGGTGGTGGTGGTGGTGGTGGTGGTGGTGTGTGTGTGTGTGTGGGGGGGGGGGGGGGGG